TAATGTTAAATTCAGACTATCTTTTTTACAATAATAAACTTAAGCATGAAATTCTTCGATTGCAGCACTTTTTTAAACACTTAAGATATAATAGATGATCCATGTACGATGTAAAACTTACCATCACTGACATTTTCTCATTTATGACAATTTGGTGGTATTTCGGAGCACATTGACATGAGATCGAAATTGTTGCTAATCGATGAAAATTGATTAATGCCATCCACCTGTACCGTGACTGGAAAAGGAAAGTTTGAGTAATTATGACAATCACCTGTAAATTGCATTATTATTCGCGTAGTACAAATTTCCAGCTTTTGTATTATGCTTTATCTCGAGCAGTTTACCTTCTCCCCCTGCACCACTATTATATCGCACGTCCACTTTCACGTGAAATCCTTTACGAGAATATAAAATTCGTGTAATTGCAAAAAAGCGCAGCCGGTGTTGGGGACAGGCTTATATGGTAACCAAAAGTGCTCTTTCACTCGGTCGCTCGGCTTCGAACTGCAACGCCAAAGGGACTAAATATCGCGAATTTGTGACAGATTTTGCGTTAACCTCTGGAGTTGGCCGGATGCTGCACTGCTGGCCATTATTTCGTTTCTGCTTTTAAAGTGGCTTTGCATAAACAAAGGACCGTTCAAATTTTTAAAAGTAGTCGACACCGTTGAATAGTGGCAAAGTTTTAATGAAAAAATTTTATTCTTCATAAATCATCGATGCATCCATGCGTAGATTTTTTCTTCTTTTCTTCCATTGTTTTTTAATTTTATCGCTATTTCGAATAAAAATATCATTTCAGCTGTGCATTTAGGCACTCACTTGACATTCTATAAATGAACATTCTCGAAGATTGAAAGTCAAGGCTTTGTAAATATTTTGCTCAATTCGCGAATCTTATATTAATTAATTACAGCCAATGGGTAATCAATTATTATATTTGAGATGAATGCTCGAGAGGTAAATTCATTATAATGATTATTATAAATTCATTATTTATACTACTTCTTAGAGTGGAAAATTGTGCCTTAATTAATTCATCGTTACAATTGAACATTACACACAAGTGCAGCAAATTGCTTGTATAAATTAACATTTTAAAATTACATAGATATCAATAATTTATTTCAAAATATTTTTCTTTTTGATATAACGTATTATAGATACCAATTTTTTTTTTAATCTGAAAATTAATTATCACGTATGCTCACCGCATTTATGGAATAATATATAATTAAAAAAGAAAAGAAAATAATTACCAAATACACGTGTATCTATTTACGAATGATATATATATATATATATATATATATATATGATTTCGTTAAAGCTCATTATTACATAAACGTCATATGTACTGTTTTAACGCTATCCATGCAATGCACGATCGAATTGGCAAAAAAAAAAAAAAAAAAAGAATAAAATAAATTTCTAAGATTGGTAACTCAATACTATCGCAATGAAAATAATATTTAAATGTATTATTGACGACATTTCAACGTCATTTTCAGTATGCTTTACAGTAGCGAATACGTCCCAGTCTGCGATAAGCATAAATCACCTGTCATTGGCTAAGCAATAAAAACAATACTACATAAATAATAACTAAATAAAATTGACAAATCACGAGTAAGTTAAAAAAAAAAGTGAAGAATTAAAGTGATATTTTGCCGAAAATGACGCAGCGAGGCATCTCCAATAATAATTCATTTCAGCCCTAAAATAATTGACAGGCCAAAAAACTCTTAAAACATCACGTTGAGCCCTACTTGTGATAATAAATCAAAACACCTTGGCGCAAACAATACGTTCGAATTCGTCCGATTATTGGAAAGTGTTGCTAATAATACTGAGTTCTTCTGATTTCCCGTGCAATTAACAAACACGTCCATTTAACCGACTTTAAAAGTTCAAGCACGCAAAAACAAGCGTAAGGGAATATCGCTGCCCTTCGCTAATCAGTCCGCGGCCTAAACTCCAGGGCTAACGAGGCAGTTTAGCCGAAAGAATAATTAGTAGGTAACAGAGCACATAGAGAAAGAATACGGAGACGAACGGCAACTGGCATCGGATTAGTGGTTGCTGTTCCAACCTTTAAGTAGCCCCACCCTCTCGCCCCCTCACGCTCATTCTCTCATGCATTCACTCCCACGCCCCTCTATCGCTCACTCTCCTGCGTACACGTTTCATTCCGCAAACTAACGTGCGCGCGACAACTCGAATTACCTCACTTAAGTTTGTAATTGTTAATTAACTAAATCCAAACTAGCCACTTTCGGGCCCGTGCTAGCTACTCTCCACGAGCCCGTTAAATTATTCAGCCGACTACGAAATTGCTGGACGCACGCGAGATTCCCAGCACTGTGACGGGGATCAAAGCCTACCGTGCTCTTTCTCTACACCCTTTACTCTATTATTTATTCAAGCACTCGAAAGCATTAATTTTTCTACTTGAAGTTATGCCTACCTTTTGTTTCTTATCTCGCGTCGATTTATTTTATTAGCTCGATATTAAACGCTTGCACTAGGACTTTCATCATCTTGCAATAAATATTTTTTATGGCTTGTTTCGATAATTATATCTGCACGTAATGTTGGAGTGATGTGAAAGTGGCGTAACTTTAAGCAGTTATGTAATTTGCCTGTTCAAGTTTATTTAAATATTTTGAATAAATCAATAGTCCTTTGTGCGCAATAGTTCCATGATCAATACTTTAATGCTAACTGAGCCACCTCTCGTCCCACCTTTCATACGCACGTGAAATAAATTTTGTAAAGTAGATTATTATATTATGAGCAATTAACTTTATGACGTTGAAAAATTTGGATCCATAATAATCATTGGGATAGAAGAAATTAAGCTACGGACAATTATAATAATATTTTGTGACGATAAAATATAGAATGAAACGTTCGATTATGAAATCCAGTGTGTAAATGTAGATTGGAATAAAAAAAAAATTTTTTAAATATGCGTATACATTAAGTTTTTAGTGCTAAATTGAAATCAACAAATTTGAAAAGTAAAATGGAAGAACTTTTATGTATGTTTTTTTTTTTTTTTTTTTTTTTTTTTTTTTTTATATAATATTTCAGATATTATCATCTCAAGGCAGATTATATTCTATTTTTATACATTGTCAAACGTGTTTTCATGAAGTTTAATGGACGGCAGATTTTCACGCGGATATGTTTTCAAATACATTTCCTTTTAATTATAAACGTTCCATAGTAATCAATCTTGTAAACATTGGGATTGGATAAACATTTTCTTAATAAAACCATTTCGAATAGTAGCAAATGTACGCTTAACATCGTGCGAAAAGATTTTCTTTCCCGCCATATCTCATACGTTATTTAAACAAATTAAGCACAACTGTGTACCCGAGTAATGTATTCTTATAATTAAAAATTTTAATATAAAAAGTTTAATTAGCCAAGGTGCATGATTTTCACGTACATATAATTCTATGAAATAATTCTATAATTTCCTAACGAAATATGATACATGCCTGTCTCATGCACATATGCACAAACGGCATCCGGTAATATTGCATCAACGGAATTGCCGCGGAAAGATGTCCGACGGACTCGCGCCAATGGTTTCCGACGAACGCATTTATCTCTTGAATAATTAATCGCTTAATTTACGCAAGCAAACGCCACGATTCCGATGTTTTTAATAATCGAATTGCTGAGAAGGATGGGCATGGGGATGGGGGATGGGTTCCTTCGAGCCTACGAGTGTGCGCAGATGTTTTAAATGTTACAAATTGAAAAAGGCAGACAAGCCTTTTTCATTTAACCTTTAAACGAATTCTCTGTGTGGACTTAATTCGGGATAATATCTTGATTATAGAATTGCTTATCTGGTTTCTCGTAAAAAATACATTAATGAAGATTACTTGTGAATATCCATCAGCTATTTATATGGATCCAATTGGGAGAGTGTGAATTCGAATTTTTTTATTGCAGATATCGAACGAGTGAACTGCTAAGAATTTCAAAAAGTGCGAGGAATTTACTTTACTATAAAAATGAAATTTCAGCCCCTGTCTGCTATGTTTATGCTAATGAATTTAGCGAAGAGTTGCTACATTTATCCTACAGGTATATTTTTCAAAAACTTTTTATGGTGAAAATTCTTTTTACCACAATGTCTTAATGTGTAAAAATTTTTGCTGAAAATGAGGTCGCAATATTATACGATTTTTTTTTATTTACATTTTATTTGATTTACAGGACCATGTATTTATTAACTCAATTATTTATTAAATGCCTGTGAAATTTTCCATTTGACCGCAACTAAAATCCATATATTCTTTTATGAGTTCGAAGAAAATGGGATTAATCGAATATTGATGAGAAGAAGAAAGGAGTTTGTAAATAGAGAGAAATTTACTTTCTACGCCAAATAAATATATAGTAAAAATAAAATTTTACTCAGATTAAAATTGATTTTCACTCTATCGTGGTTTTTTAATGAACTCGCATTAAATAAAACAAAAAATTAGATGAATAAATTAACTAGAAGGCTAGTCCAACTTCAGTCCAGTTAACTTGAGAATTTTCATCAATAGGACGTTTATAATTTTACTCTTATTTCTATGGGAGGAAACTGCGGCATTTATCAATTTCATCGTCTACCTTTTCACATTGATAAAAATTCTATATAAAGAAAGTACGTTGCCATTAACTTGAAAAAAAAAAAAAAAAAAAAAAACGTCTAAGAGTTTTATTATAAATTTGTAATTACATACTACGTGGAGCACTAATTAACATATTATTATGTGTTTTACGTAAAAGGGAATAAATAAAGTCTTTACATCGTTATAAAAAAATTTACATCTCAGATGAAATCGAATCGCAAAATGTAAAATTTATCCTATAATAATGCAGAAACTATCTATAAGGAAATAAAAAGATTTCGCTTTCAGCTAACTTTGTGCCAAAAATAAAAATCAATGGTGATAAATTGTATTGTCCGCATAGGACCCATGACCTTTGACCCCAATTACTCTGTGACACTTATAGCTAAAACCAAGCCTAATGGTATGTTTGACCTTTGAGCTTTTACCTCTATGACACGTTGGCTACGGGATAAAACTGAAGTGCATTCGCCCGATTACTCTGATCTCCATAAAACCATACCAATTCCCATTTGCAAAGTCAACCACTCGATTACAGATATCATCGTTAAATCTCCGATAGCGAATAAATTACGATTTCTCCTATATCTAATATCCTTAAAATAATTAATATACCACAATTTCATTACTACAATATGCTCCCACAACCGCACCGATTACCCATGCATACCACTACATTTCCATCACCGGTGCGTCAAGCTCAATACAGACTGCTTCCACTACGACTAAAATCCCTTCCCCGAGATCTCCATCTCCGCAGTTCCGACAAAACTCGCCAGACCTAAATCAAGATAAAGAAATCGGACGTTAGTCGTGTCCTCCTATCCCAAGACCCTCTCACCGCAAATACACGCACCACGAATTACCCATCGCTCCCAAGTCGTTTAACAGCCGACGCAACTAACGGCCTCGCGCCATTATTTTCTGTTACAGAGAAGATCGATCCATGCGAGAAGCTTAACTGCACCCTCGGCTCGCAGTGCGTACGCAGCAAGGACGGCACCGAGGCCAAATGCGAGTGTCTCGAATCGTGCCCGAGCCTCGGGGACCACGAAGGCGCGGGTCCGGTATGCGGTACCGACGGCGTCGACTACCCGAGCCTCTGCGATCTCAATCGACAGGCATGCGCCACCGCCGCCAACATCTCCGTCGCTTTTCGCGGCAAATGCGGTAAGGCATGATTATACGACGAAGCTTATACTCGTATCACGAGGACGGGCAGCTTGTTTTTCCTCATTCGCTCGAACGATCCCTATAAAAATCATTTATCACCTTTCGCCTGGCTTCGCTTGCCGTGAATTAATCTGCTTATCAATTCGGCGCAAGTCGCCTGTCACTTATGAATTCACGTCCTACCCAAGCACAAGCATTTAACAGTTTGTCGATTATAATACCGGAAATGCGAATGATGATTGACTGCTTGTTTAACATTGGCAATCCATGTATGATCATATTCATTGGTACATTGTTGATGTTGAAACAACAATTTGGGAAGAAGCACCGATAGCGCGTCTTTGCGCGTTATTAAAGAACAATGGATTTTGTGATTTTACTTTACCAACGAGTATATCTGTTAGCGGTAATTTTCGGTAATTTTCGGTAATTTTCGGTAATTTTCGGTAATTTTCGGTAATTATCGATAATTTTCGGTAATTTTGTGTACACGCGTCGCACTTTTCGCACATGATGTAAGCTTCGAAAGCATACAACGTACAGCGCTTGCATTTCGAACTATACGTCAGCTTAGAATAAACGGCTCGTAAAATGATAATGAAATCACGAATTATGAATAAATTAAAAGGGGAATAGTCGAAGTGATAATAACAGCGTCTCTTGTTGCTCCAGAACGTTCCGTGGCTCAATAAAACGATAAAGCTCAGGCTCGAACGTATCTGTAAATTTATATTGCAATTGTCGGGGCTACTGGGGGGAGCAAAGTTTTATTTTCGTTAGATTATCGATTAAGCCACTCTCTCGTATAACACCATAACAGCCGCTCGTTCCGTAATCTCCAACTGGCCAAATGCTTACATTCACTCGGACAAATTTATTTACAACAGCGCCAGATCAATAATATAACGCGCATTTATCCGAGCGAGATAAGCAGTGATTTGAAGTGGCGCTCGAGGCGGGCGCGACTTCCGCATTCATTTCTCGTTTGATGAGGCTGTAATTTATTAGTCTCGGGGACATAAACATTGACCCGAGTGTATTTCAAATTCGGGAAATCCAGAGGGTCGTGACAGTAGACTCCCAGTGCTCACGGCGCATCGAAAACCAAAAGTGGATAAGTTTCGCGCTTTGATAGATACTTCCCGAGACGCGGTCGCTCTCGGAAGGAAAAAAAAGTGTGCCATCGGGAAAAGAGGGGCGGGCTGGCTGGCCCTTGGGGCGCATGGATACATTCGTATTACGGAGGTCCGAGAGCGGGAGAAAGGCGCGGCGCCGTGCGCATATGGATATTTCGCGAGAATGTAATGTATCGAGGCCATAGATTTTCCCGGAGCACCGCACATCCCCTTTCCCCGCCCGATAGCGCGGCTCCTGTATCGAAGGCTATTATTCAGCCGGCGCACAATAAGGGAGGTTACATGTCCCCAAAACCAATTTCTCGTGCTCTCTCTCGTTCTCGCTCGTTCTCGTGGCGAGTGTACGTAATAGTGGCGCAGGTGCGCCGCCGACCTCGCCAGACTAAAAAAGCTCGAGCGTCATTCGCGAAAAAATGAAAATAAAAGGGAATATAAGTGACGGGCTTTTTCCAATTTTAACTCTTTGGAAAAAAAATGAGTGCTGTACTCGGGCAATGGCTCGGGACATTTGGCTTACCATTTCTTAGCGTTATTTTATTAAAATATCCACTAATGGCCATTCGGACTTTTGCCCTTCTTATTATTACATTGTCTTTCTACACACGCACGCTCGCACACGCACACGCACACGCACACGCACACGCACACGCACACGCACACGCACACGCACACGCACACGCACACGCACACGCACACGCACACGCACACGCACGTATGTATATAGGACGTGCTCAATTAGAAAATTTATCATGTATAATGGGAAATGTATAATTGCAATTATGACGATGCTATTACATATCGTTTACGCGACTTGGCATTTATTGAGCTTTCAAAGTATTGAAATACTTTAAAAACTTCAAACGTAATGCTGTCGATGAAAGTCATATTTCGGCATATTGAATATTTTACTGGATACTTGATTATCTTCATTTGACTAATATCAGTGATAAACTATAAATTATCCAGATCTTTTTAATAATAATAATTAATATTCACTGCTATTAGCGTGTTTATTAATTAATTAAAATACGTACGCGTATGGGTGCATATTAAAGCAACTGCACGTATGAATAAAAGCTCTATATATAATTAAATGGGATCTCTTAATTTCATGACAATCAAAATTTTTCACCATTACATCTCGAATTCTATATTAAATTCATGACTTTGACATTATTATTATTATTATTATTATTATTATTATTATTATTCTTGTTGCTGCTCCTGTTGCTGCTGCTGTGGTTGTTATTATTGTTAGTGATGTTGTTATATTATAATTTTCCTTCGATCGTTAAAATTAATTTATATTTTTTCATGTATTAGAAAAATTATTGAAATATAAAATTCAGGCAATCCAATAGAACATTCTAATATACGTATAGATTGTAAATATTCATATTATTTATTGACATATTATATAACGTCACATTTTAATACATCATTACTAATTAATTATTTAGCATACATATTTTACTATATACTTTTACGTGTTTACTCATATATGTTACTAACTTAATATTAGTTAACATTTAAAACGAATTATGTATTTATGAAAGTACATTATTACAACGTATTGTTCTCCGAAAATAATTTATATTTAATTGTAATATTTCTTAACTATTTAAAAGAGAATAATAATGCTACCGTTGACTTATTGTTTTTTTCTATAATAAATTTTCAACGAATCAAGTTCAATACATTATGATGATATTATACCAGTACTACTACTACTACTACTACTCGCGAATAATACAAATCAAATTGGTCTGTTTATTATATTACCTGGAATTTCTTAATGCCTACAAATGTATATAGAATTTATTGATATGTGTTTTTGATTTAATTGTGCGTTAAACGTATAAATTCTTAATCTAGTACACTTATTAATTATCAATTATTCTACAAATTCCACAGAGTTAACGTAGTCATAGGTACTGTATTATATATCCACTGACATTATACAATTTAGAAATTAATCAAATTAATTTTACTTCTATAAATATAAATTAATAATACAATCGGCTAAGATGGAAAATACTTGTATTACAGGTGCAAGACATTTTTCAAATTCTCATTTAGGATTTTAGCGGAAAAGAACGTTGCGTTTCTTTCTGAAATTTTGTTATTTTTATATTTATGGATTTTCGTATTTAGTCCACTTCTAAAATTAATCCATCTATCAATTCCTGCCATTACTCGTATTTAAATCTAGAATCAGTTATTTTAAATATGCTATAAATATTTTTGTGCTATAGTTATTATCGAATTCGATTGGGACACATTTCTTCATACTTGTTCTACTAAGTCATTATTTCTGAATGATTAGTTTACCAATGAATGATATTCGTTAGTGACTTATTTTTCAAAATATGCCCTATCTAATAGATATTGTCAGATAATCAAATTCGTTACCAGAACTGGCTGTATATCATCATTTTATAAATATATTATTTCTGGAAATACTGTAAAACGTCTGCTTTCGTCACTATATCATTATTTTGCTCTCCTTACATTTTGTGCAAATCAGCAAAATTCAATTAACACTTTCTAAATTAATTAGTTCTGAATTTCATTAATTGCGTAGGTTCGTTCTTTTATAACTGTTTTATAATTTAAATATCTCATATGAACTAATCATAAGTATAAAAAATGACGATTTTCAAATTGAATAAATCATTATAAATTAAGCTACGACGGTGTTAGTACTAACCTATTTAACATTTACACAAAGTCAAACCATTTGCATTTGCATTCTCATTAATGTATCATTAACGTTAATTTATGAAAACAGTATTTATTCGAGACGGATGGATACAAGATGAAATTTGGAAGCATTTATATATAATGTAAATATAAATTTTAAAAGCCATTCAATTATGTCCTTGTTATTTTTATCGCCATAATGTAAGTAAACTGAAACATTTGAAGCGTGTTAATTGTGTTAAGTTTTTTTTTTTTTTTTTTTTTTTTTTTTTTTTTTTTTTTTTATTGACGTATTCAAATTGTTTTTAAGTTTAAATTATAAATATGCACTTAAATGCGCAGTATTTTTTATAGAGGAAATTTTAAATTAAAGCCAATTATTGATATTATAAAATGACCTTCTCTTATTAATATTAGATAACTTAATTAGACTATTGTAGGTAAAAAGTTTTACATGAGAAAAAATAAAGTTAAATAACTTTATAAAATATAAAAACAGAAAAGTTTATAGATCTTATCCTAGAAATAACGAATAAATAATTTATTTTATAAAAGGCAAAATTTATGTTTATATAAAGCGTTTTGAATTACAGAGAATTCACTGACGCGCTATTTCCTATCTAAAGCCCGATCATACCTGCAAACCAAAATAATTAATAAATAAATACCGTAGAATTCGAGAACGTGATATTATTTTCAAAAGCAACATAAATCACTTTGGAAAGACCTATAGCTTCAAAATAAAAATTAAATCAAAATTGTTAAAAAAAAAAAAAAAAAAAAAAAACACACAACAGGCAGTACGAATAATGTCATTATTTTACATCACAATTGAATTTCAAATTAACAAATGAAAATAACAATGTCTTCTAACGTAGCGGTGACGATGACTGGTTACTTTTTCAAATTTAACCCAATGCTACTCCTCGTATTTTGCGGATAAATTTTCGCGAATGTAAAAATCAATAATTTATTACTTGCAAAGTAAAAAGGGGAAGAAAAAAAAAACGCATGCAGATCCTAGGAACGCCGATAATAATCCATTTCATTATAGCCTGATATTGTTATACAGTGCGAACGATTGCAACGGTCCGACAAAACATAAAAATAATACAAGAGCCTACGACTGTAGCGGAGACCACGCTCGCGCGCGCATAT